GAATCGGCCTGTCCGGTCCAATTCTCATAACCTTGATATAAATACACCATGTGGGGATCTCATTCTATTGCTATAAAACTAGAAAACATGCCCCAATATAGGAGAGGGAAAATGAGATTCTTGAGCATGCAAGAGAGAGAATGACGTCGGCCTCAAGAAGTTCGGGAGATCGCGTGGACCAAGGTGAAGGATATATATTTGAAAATTCAAAGGTGATCAAGGGTTTATTCGTTCGCGTGGTCCGGTTGACCTTGAGGTTCATCACGACAATAACGTAAAACGTATATTTTGATCTTAAACTTTGAATCCACTGTATTTTGGATTAGTTTCTTAGCTATATCATTAATGAATAATTAACTGACGTTTTTCGCCAGACCCAACAGACTCGTGGATGTGACCAACACTCAACACACATTATCCTTTAAAATTGTGTAAAATAAATTCAATTTAATTATTTTTATAATTGATTTATAGTGTTATTTCTTCCATTGTTTTTCAACCCAGACCGGCACGACAGGTAAACCAGGGACCCAGTCGACTCAGAGTCGGAATTGGTCCCGGTGGGTGATTTGAACCGGGTGACAATGGACTCGGTAAAAATCGGTCAAAACCCTGTCAACCCGACATTGACCCAGTCCACCCGGGCATCGACCGGCCGGGTCAACCCGGTATGACCCAACCAATATAATTTTTTTTATTTTTGTTTTCAAAATGTTTTTTTCTTATTTAAAAATAAAAATCACGCATATATATTTATATAGTTACTATATATTATTAGATACAATATCATTAACACTTTGATGTACATAATTTATATACAAAATATTTATTTTTGTTATTTTTATGTATATTTATATGAAAAAATACTATACATATGATTAAAAAAATAATAAAATTAATTATCCGGTTAGAAATTGACCCGGTGAGCCGAAGATCTGTCCGAGTCAATTCCTAGTCCGGGTCTAAAAACTATGATTTCTTCTATTAAATAAACAAATTGAAAATTGAAATATGCTTATAAACTAGTCTAAAGTATAAATTTTGCTTTCTAAATATTAAGGGTATGTTTGTATACAAAAAATAAAAAATAAAAAAAACTCGATTCATACTCAACTTATACTCAAAATTTAACTCAACCCCACTATTAATTATCAATATAATTAAATAATATCAATCAATCATTCTTATACATCACATCAACTTTAATTTACTATTCATTCACTCATATAATTTCAACTAACTATCACTACAAATCATCTCTCTCCCTCTTACTTTTACTCTGTCCCTCTTACTTTTGTATCAAATCAACTTTAATTATTTTATCTTAAATATTATTTTAATATAAAATTAAAATTCCTAACAATTAACCATATTGCTGTTTTTAAATTAACTCTGATTAACCAAATTAATTGTTTTTAAGCAGAAATTTTTGTATACAAACATGCTGTAAATTTGTAATGGATCATGTATCATAACCTAAACTTATGATATTATCTTTTATAGTTGGTATTTAAAAATTTAATTAATTTTGAAAATGACGTGTACATTCAAACATTAGAAAAGATATATAATGTAATGCGAGTGTCATTTCAATTATGCCAGAGTTCCAACTTCTTTTAAAAATATCAAAAAAGAAAAAAAAAAATGAAATAGAATTGATATAAAATTATAAAGAATTATTATATAATATTAACACAAAAGGTAGAAATTAGCTTGTCAAGAAACTCGGTTTTGAGAATAGGTGGTACCTGCAAAAGCCTACTGGATCTAAGGGAGGCTTAGTGGTCATGTGGGACCAATGTATTGAAATCAGGACATTGACAGGGACTGAGGTGAGAGGAGCTGGTGTTAGAGAATGGTACTGGCTGACTTTTGTGTATTTGAGTAATGACAGAAATCAAAGAACACAAGAATGGCTCTGCTGTCCTGGTATAAACCCAACAAGAGAAACAATGAAAAAGCTATCCAAGTGCTTACTACCAGAATGAAGAGGTGAGGAGCAGTAGATTGGGATGAATGGGGCCAAATGAAAACTGATCTGGACAGTGCTCACAGGGAGGAAGAGCTGTTTTGGATACTGAAATCTAGAGCACTGTGGCCCAAGGAAGGAGATAACAACACTCGGTTTTTTCATGCTTACGCATCTAAGAGAAGGAAGATGAACTCAATTCATTTGCTAATTACAAGCACACTGATTATTTGGTTTCCACAAATTTTAAATTCTTATCATTATAATTATCCCTAGATAATATTTTTGCATTACATACAAAGACTATTAACAAGTTTAAATTTTAAACTGAACCCGTACGAACAAAACAGTTACACCATTTGATATGTGGATTAAGGAATTAGATAATTGTTTTCGTTTTATGGCGGTTAAAACTACAATCAACACTTGAAAAAGAAATCTAGTACAAGGCGGGAAATGATTTGTTTTAATTGATAGCTTATATTATAATTTGATACTGAGTATATAATATTTTGAAAATAATGTAAATTCCATGTTCGTTGATTGTACTTAAAATTAATGTTATATCAATTGTTTTTTTTTTTTTCAAACGGATGTTATATCAATTGTTATCTTCTTCATTTTGTTTTTAACGGATGGTATTAATTATAAAATTAATCTTACAATCCAGAACTAATTTGCATTTAAAATCACTGCAATCTCATTGATATTTTGTTCAATGTGGCATCTAGATTACAATAAAAATTTATTTTTGGCACAACTAAAAAAATAAAATATTAAGGATAAAATAAAAGAAAAATAAAAAGTAAAACTTTGTAGCACTATTCACAGACCCACTCTATTTCCAGACGCAGATTAGCCCAGCAGGCCGATCCACAACCAGATCGATTCAGATACAGAACCAGTTTGGGTGGGTCCTTTAGGATTGAGTAATATGCCAACCTATCAAAGGGTCAACTCCGTTTGACCTGATCAAATTATTATTTTATTTTTGTTTTGTTTCAATATTTTTTATTTTAAAAATAAATTGATGTGATATATAGTTATGTATTAAATATTTATGACGAGATATAATATTAAGACTATAGCATAAAATTTACATGTAAAATTTTATTTTATTGATACTTATAAACAATTATTGTATATATATAATTTAAAATTACTAAAACCAATTATTCGATTATCAGTTGATCCAGTGACCCGAAGGCCAGCCTGAGTCGGGTGTGAAAACATTGCCTTGTAGAAAACGAGTGTTAGTCAAATAAATTGTACTTAAATTCTAAAATAAATAAAAAAAAAAGTTAACTTTTTTATTTTAATTTAGAAATACGTTTATATAATAATTCATTATTGTGTACTAGTACAACACTGAGATTATACGGGTACTAGATAAAGAATTTATATTGAAATTAATATATACACATACATAAAAATACACATCTATATGTGTGTGTGTGTATATATATATATATATATATATATGAAAAGTTTTTATTTAAATTTTAAATACCTTTTAAAAAATTACATTATTATTTATATTTATTTCTACATGTACGATTTGTCCGTCTTATCTTATAATAAACTTTTTCATTCATATGTGATAATTTATAGAAAAATTTATTAATTGAGTTATAAATTAATTATACAGAAATTCATAAAACAAGAATATATAAGAGGGAAGATTCCTTAATTAAAATTTTAAATACTTTGTAAAAATGCTACTCGTATTTATATTTAAAATATAACTTTATGGTTGTATGGTTCGAACATCTATATTATAATATTTTTTTAGCTCATATATAATAAATATGTAAATAACATTTTTAATTGACATATAATGTTAAAAGTTTTTAATTTGTATTAACAGATGATTTAATTTTATGATAACAAAAAAAGTTATTTATTTATTTTACATATTCAATATGGGTATTAAAGCTCATCAAAGTGATTAGTTTGAAATATTATATAGGAAAAACTGATAACAAATACAAAAGTTATTACCTTTTAAATAGATTTATAATTCAAGTTGGTTAAGTATTTTAGAATTTCAAAAAGTTTAATAGATATGGATAGAATCCAAGTGAACACGAACTACTTCGAAGCACTAAAAGAAGATATGGATAGAATCCAAATGAACACGAACTACTTCGAAGCACTAAAAGAAAAGTAACCACATAGTGTTTGAAGAAATGCTATGGAACCAATGGTTGGCTCCTTTATGGAGCCAACCACCAATGCTATAGTGGCACGTAGGCCATGTGAAAAAATAGTTAACTCCACATGGCCTATGTGGCACTATAACATTGGTGGTTGGCTCCATAGCATTTCTCGTAGTGTTTGAACTTTGAACTTTATGTTGTGGTCCAGTTCCTAGTAAATACGTCAATATTTACGTGACGTCCACATGGTAATGTGGTGGACATTAATAGTTGTTATTATATTGAAACGTCTAAGCAGAATAAAATAGGGGAATGAAAATTGATATCTTAAGGTATTGTAACAGTGTCCTTTAAAATAGCATCATTTTTATGGTTTTCAAACTATGAATTATTTATATTTAGAGATGAGATCATATGAAAATAGGGCATAATGAAAGAAATGAGAATGATCATACATCTTCGGATCGTCCAAATTAATGGGTGAGATAAAGCTGACCAAAGCTGACCAGCATTGACAAAGCGGTGGCAGTTTTGTAATTAGGTGATAAATTTTGGTCTGTGGGTAAACTTTGAGGGTAGCAGTGTAATTTCACTTCACCAACTAACCAACCTAATTTCTCTCCTAGGGCCCACCACACCATCCCTCAATTTTTCTCTGTTACACTCACAGACGCACACACATTTGCACACACATCACATTTCGGCCACCGGTTATTCGTACGACACCGATTATTCTTTGGCCACTGTGACCACCGCCCCACCACATCCCATCGCCGTCGTCACACCCTGCACAAAAAATTACACCCAGAAATCCATACAATTGGAATACACACACACGCACCATAGCCAACACCCATCCCATATGGCGACCGTTGACCGGCCACCAACCCACCGCCAACGCGAGCTCTGCCTATACAGTCATTTTCGACGCCAGTTCCACCGAAGCCCTGCCGTTACAGTCGCTTCATCACCAGGTCTATGGTGGACGCCGTCGGGATGGACACCGCTGGGGTCGCGGAATCCGACTTCTATCCGCCGACGCAGTCGATATGGACTCGGGAGTCTCAAGGCGTCCACCGAGGAGCCGCCGCAGAACGAGCTCTGCAGATCCACTGTTTGCGAAGTCCGGCTTCGACTCCGTCACTAATCTCGCCACAGCGTCCAGCGGCGAAAGGCTCCATCATATTCCAGTGTGGTGGCCGCCGAGAACTCTGATATCAGACGCAGTGAGTTTGGGCGGAGAAGACAAGCGGTTTGGTGTGGTGGAGGGGTTAATTGATTTTGGGGCTTTTCACATGAAAATTAGATAATCCTCAGACCCATTTTGCAATTTATGAATATTTATTTAATACATGTATAATTCTTAGGGCTTTTTTTTTTGAAAAGTGTGAACAATGTTGTGCATAGATATGTGGTTTAAAGGTAAAAGCAACTAATCCAAAATGAAATTTAAAATTTCAAATTGGTAAACAAAAATAATTATAATAGTAAAAATAATAACAATAATAATAATAAATAAAAATAACGGTAAAAACAACTAACCCAAATGAAATTTGAAATTCAGAATTGAAAATTTATACATAATGTTTTTAATTTGTCGGTTAACATAAATAACCAAAATAGTCGACATAAATTATATTATTTATTATATAAAACATTATTAGTATTTAGTATTTTTTTTATTTAATATTTTATATTTTTATTATTAAACATATTAATATATACTAAACGAAATATAATGTGCAATCTAACAGTAATTAAGGTTCAAGTAAAACCAACAATATGGTGCACTGTGTCAACATGTATTAGGCATATTGAATCAACCGAAATTTTATTTCAATCAAATTGAAAATGAACATAATAAAGTGCAAGTTTATTTTATGAAGTACAACGTATTATTTTATAAAGTGAAACGTGTTGATATATAAAGTGCAGTACTGTAAATTTGATATGTTAGCATGTTTGCATTTTATGTGGGCAAATGATGTGATGGGTGTTAAAATATTATATAGATACATTTTTGAGATTTATGTTGTGTGGTATTTTGGCGGGAATTATTAACGTTAATTGTGAAGTGTGATGATAAAATGTAGCTTGTTGTTTTATAAAGTGTAACGTGTTGTTTTATAAAGTGCATCATATTGCCTTATAAAGTGCAACACGTTATTCTATAAAGTGCACTAATTTATACGATCTCGGATAAATTATGTGTATTGTTGTTTTATAAAGTGCAGCGTGTTGTTTTATAAAATGCAACATATTGTTTTATAAAGTGCAACACGTTATTCTATAAAGTGCACTAATTTATACGATCCCGGATAAATTATGTGTAAAAAATAGATGTAATTGTACATTGATTAACCTAAATACTTAAAATACTTATTATTTATTATTGTATATTTAGTATTAAATTTATTTAGTATTTTACATTATGATTTTTTGAAAGTAAATAATATATGTATTTGAAATATAAAATAATTTATTTATAGAATCCGGTTAGTTTTCTATTTTATTTTTTATTTTTTATTTTGTAAATAAATCCGAAACCGAAACGAGCTAACCAAAATTTTAATATATGTGAAATGTCCAATGTTATGTTAGTGTGAGTTCTCGAATGTATTAATGTGCGTTATGTCTAACATTTTTGTGCAGTGTGATAGTAACTAACGTGAACTAAGTTAATCGAATTATCTTAAATAATTAAATATTTTATTATTTATTATCATAAATGTATATTTTGTATTTTAATATTTTATATAGTTTTATATTATTATTTTTTGGTTAACAAGAATATAATAAATATATGTATAAAAATAATAATTTTTATATATTTTTATAAATTACAGATTTGATCTATGGGCTAAATTGAAATATAATAAAAAGTTTGAAAATGCAATTGAGTCTATGTGATTATCAAATTTTTAAATTCAACCCCCCAATATCCCAAGCCACACGTTCATCCGCCATTTTCAGACCACTGTGTTTTGCCACCGTGAACCACCCCGGCAGAAGAGGACGTGTCGCTGCCAAGCCGAAGACGCATCCAAGGTTGCTCGTACGACCGAAAAAAGGTGAGGCCACAACTATGGCGGGCGGCGGCGGCGGCGGCAGAACGATTGAAAATGAGACGGCGACGCACGAATGTGGAGAGGTGTTGGAAAGACGTCGCACAATGTGCGGCGACGAGCTAAGGCGTGCGGACCTAGGATGGTCGATGAATTCGAGTCGACCTGCTCATAGATCGGCGACTTGAGCTACGCGTGGTGGTGGGAGAAGGTTACAACAAATTGGTGTCGACCTGCTCCAATATTTATGACGGTCAGAATCGGTTACAGTGGAGATAATGGGCGGCGGAGGTCGCCGGACGGACGACGATAGTTGGTGCGGGCGGGGTTGGTGTGTGTGTGTGTGTGTGTGTGTGTGTGAGAGAGAGAGAGAGAGAGAGAGAGAGAGAGAGAGAGAGAGAGAGAGAGAGAGAGAGAGAGAGAGAGA